CTTGTGCCAGTCCGTACCTCCGTCCTTACACCCCTCTGTCCTTGTATTCGTCCGTACGTACCGGGTTATGTCATCAGGATAACTTAAACTAACTTAAATATTGCCACCAACTTGTTGTATATATTTACCTCAACATGACTTCATACTACAGTAGTTAAAATATCAGTATTTTCTGTATCCAGAGTTGTGGCTACTTGTGTTGTGATGTCACTTGTGTTGTGATGTCACTTGTGTTGTGAATGTTACTTGTGTTGTGATGTCACTTGAGTTGTGATGTCACTTGAGTTGTGATATCGGGAGAGATTGACCACCATCAGCCTTGTTATTCACTGACTGATTATAATTGTTTATGTGTTGAGTCAGAAAAAACTAATCTTATTGTTATAACTCATTTTATAACTTGTATTGTGTGTGTGTGTGTGTGTGTGTGTGTGTGTGTGTGTGTGTGTGTGTGTGTGTGTGTGTGTGTGTGTGTGTGATATCAATATTATTATGAACTTCGTGACTGTAATAGTGGAATCATCATCATCATCATCATCATCATCATCATATTCATCATCATCGTCATCAATATTTTCCAAGCTTACACGTGTTTAGCCTTTGTTTACCTGGTGGCAGCTCTCCATACTCTACAGTACAGTCTCTTGTGGCCTCTCTAATCAGGTTCTTATCTCTGAGGTCATATCTTATAACCTCTCCCAGTGTCATTCTTGGCTACCCCCTTCCTCTCCTTCTCCCAACGTTCACCATCACGTATCTCTTGTCCAGTTGGTTTCATCCACTCTCTCCGCATGTCTGAACCACCTCATCTATCCTTCCTCTCCACAAAACCTCACCCAAGTGCCCTTTTAGCTCTGAACAGGGTTTGCTGTCTGTCAGTGCCGCATTTCACATCCACCTCACCATTCTCATTTTAGTTCGCTCACTACTACGTTATGTCATCTTCTTTAACTGCCCATGTTTCACTGCCATACATCACGCTTCTCACACCAGTGTTACAGGTCCTCTGCCGCCAATAAAGGCAGCATCTCCCTGATATTCTTCCAGCCACTTCTGACACTTTTAACTGAGTAGCTAACAGTGCCAGCTCCAGCATTGATCATGTCACCCAGGTAGCATAACTCAGCCACACACTTCAGGGAAATATCCCCAGTGTTGAGTTTCTCCAGCCTTGCTAAGGCCACATGATTACTTGAATACTGCACACTTAGGAAGCTAACTTCGTATCGCTGACACGTGTTTATCAAACTTGACAGATTTACAAACACGTGTACAAGAGCTGGTTGAAGCAATTCAAATAGTAGAATTGTAAATGAATTTACTAAAACAAAGGTATCATTCGACATTAAAATTCTTGAAGTCATTAATACAAATATTTAGGCAACTTGGTGTCCAGTAATCCGTCAGGTAAAGTGAAACCAAAGTCGAAACACACCAGAGTAATATTAAGTCCTTCTTCCAAAAATAACTTGACCTTTTGTCGGACAAGGAAATAACTTCGCCAGTGCGTGTTGACCACTTGATGTGAAAATAACGACAAAATGTATAAATAAACCACAGATTCTAGTCCACTACGAAGGGACAATAATGACGAGATCTTGAACCAAAATGCGTTAAAATAAATTATTACACGGTCTAAGGTGACAGTGACCAGGTCTAATAGCTAGAGGAATACATCAACAGTAGATCAAACAGACCCAAGACTCGTCCCACGGTGAAGTTCAGAGACACTGAAGGCTGCAGGCATAACGTGGCGGACACTGATGGGAGGCCTTCACCCAGTGCCTCCTGTAGTGGGATATATATATATATATATATATATATATATGCAAATAAATCACTGTAGGTGCTCATTGATCTGGGTATATGCTGATAACCACAAGGAAAGAAGAAAACACGAGTTCCCCAAGCGCTTTCGTGTGGTCATCTTCAGGGGTGGTCTGTACTTACCCTGAAGATGTGAATACACAGCAAACTTTTCTTTTCACAATTATCAACATATATATATATATATATATATATATATATATATATATATATATATATATATATATATATATATATATATATATATATATATATATATATATATATATATGTATATATATATATATATATATATATATATATATATAATGTAACGGATGGTTGAAATCAGCGTTAAGATCAACATGAAATTGTGGTGTGTAAGTTTGAGACAAGTCATGAACGAGGCAGGTAATGCACCCTACAACATGGAGGTTAATCAGACCAGAGTATACAGGTGACTCCCTACCTGGTTCACACTGTCAAATATAAATCAGCCACACATGGGGCAGTCATGACAGGCTGTAATCTAGGTGAGTGGGCAGAGCACCGTGTGACCCAGAATAGTTGCAGTACTCCAGCAGTGTGTAGTGGTGGTGGTGTACGTGATGGGGGACTGGTGGTTCTTGTGCCTACACCCACCATCCCACTTCTGAGGCCTTCTCACCCCACTCCTAACTTACTCAATTCCACTTCCATCTCAATCCTTCTTCCCAATCCCTCTTACCATCATCTCTCTTAATCCTTCTCTTTTCACAATCCCACACAACTCCTCGTCCCTCTCCCCTTCACCACCACGTCTACTTTCATCGTTATCGTCATGCTTTCCTCCCGTGACCTGCAGCCTGCTCAGTCATCGTCCCCACTGTGGTACATGGCTGACCTTTTCCCGCCTGACCTCTCTGCTCCTTGCCTCTTCGCTGCCATCTCCGTCCAACGCCTCTGGTTTTCTTCGTAGCTCACTCTTCTGCACTCTCCTCCGTTGTTCACTGCCTCCCTCATCCCCAGCAGCACCAGCAAGGGCCATAAATCAACAGGTGGTGATAACCTGGGCCCGAGGGAGAGTGTGAGAGATGCGTCTCATCAGTGGAACGGAGTCAAGGGGCATCGGTGAATGTTCCTGTTTTTTGCATTCACGTTTTGTGGGTTGGAGTAGCGGTGGGTTGTGCAGTGGACCTGTAGCGTCGCCTGCATGACCTGCCACCCAGTTTGTAGCCTCACACTCTCTCGGGTACTGTCTCTGAGGGAGGTGAAATCACGACCACTTTTCAGTCCATCCCTGCGACTCCGCGTCCTGGGGAATGAGGCGTGGGCGGTGGGGTGGGCTAGAGCCTTGTTTACCGTGCACTTGTGGTTGCAGTCATACACCTTGTTAAAAGCTGTGTGACGGCCCGGAGGTTGTGTGTAGATTCTTAGGAATGGGAACACTGAATGTCTGTAGATGTTTGTGGCGGAATGTGTCTTAATCCATTAGTAGTTGTCGTAATGTGTGTGTGTGTGTGTGTGTGTGTGTGTGTGTGTGTGTGTGTGTGTGTGTGTGTGTGTGTGTGTGTGTGTGTGTGTGTGTTCTCTAAATCGACATGGTTTGTAGGTTCGTTTGTCTGTAGGTCTGTTTTGTTTACACTGTAGCGTCCACAATCATGAACCAACCTTCACGAAATTTTCACTGCTGAATGTGACCACCTGACTCCAGTGACCACCTAACTACAGTGGCCACCTGACTACAGTGACCACCTGACTACAGTGACCACCTGACTACAGTGACCACCTGACTACAGTGACCACCTGACTACAGTGACCACCTGACTACAGTGACCACCTTACTCCAGTAACCACCTTACTCCAGTGACCACCTGACTCCAGTAACCACCTTACTACAGTGACCACCTGACTCCAGTGACCACCCGGGTTGCGCCTCCAGTGACCACCTTACTCCAGTGACCACCTGAGTACAGTGACCACCTGACTCTAGTGACCACCTTGCTCCAGTGACCACCTGGACAGTGACCACCTGACTACAGTGACTACCTTACTCCAGTGACCACCTGACTCAGTGACCACTGACTCGAGTGACCACCTTACTCCAGTAACCACCTTACTACAGTGACCACCTTACTACAGTGACCACCTGACTCCAGTGACCACCTGACTACAGTGACCACCCTACTCCACTGACCACCTTACTACAGTGACCACTTTACTACAGTGACCACCTGACTACAGTGACCACCTGACTCCAGTGACCACCTGACTACAGTGACCACCTGACTCCAGTGACCACCTGACTACAGTGACCACCTGACTCCAGTGACCACCTGACTCCAGTGACCACCTGACTCCAGTGACCACCCGGACTACAGTGACCACCTGACTCCAGTGACCACCTGACTCCAGTGACCGTATACTATGAATGTTGTAGTTATAATATTTATTTGGTTTTAATACATACATACATACATACATACTATACATACATACATACATACATACATACAGGTACAAATTTCCTGGCCACGTCTGTCAGTGGGACCTTTACCCCTTAACCTTCTCCTCCTCTCTGGTCCCGCTTTCACTCCTTCGTTTTCATCCCTGTTCCTGTCACTTCTCTCCTCTCTTTATATTCACCCTCTCCCTCTCTCCTCCTCCTTCCTGCTCCTCTCTCTCTCTCTCTTTTCTTCCTTCACTTCTCATTATTTTACTTCTCCACCCCATCACTCCCACGTGTGGAAGTGTGAGAAAGAGGAGTGGAGGGAAAATGAGAGAGGGGGCTGAGGAATGGAGGAGGGGAGGAGAAGGGTGGAGGAGAGGGCGAAGGGTGGAGGAGGACTTGATCTTCCCAGTTACATCCCCACTGTTTTGCTGCCTCTACATTGTATCTCGTTCCCAGGTCTTCCTCACCCACCTTTCCTCCCTCGCTCTTCACCCTTTCCCTCGTCGTCCCTCTCCACTTCCTTTTTTCGTCCTCGTCCCTCTCCAGGTCCCTTGTCCCTCTCCAGGTCCCTTGTCCCTCTCCAGGTCCGTCGTCCCTCTCATGGTCCTTCGTCCCTCTCCAGGTCTCTGTTCCCTCTCATGGTCCTTCGTTCTCTCATGGTCTTCGTCCCTCTCCAGGCCCTCGTTCTCTCCAGGTCCCTCGTCCCTCTCTGGTCCTTCGTCCCTCCCAGGCCCCTCGTCCCTCTCCAGTCCCTGCCCTCCTCATGGTCCTTCGTCCTCTAGGTCCCTCGTCCCTCTCATGGTCCTTCGTCCCTCCAGGTCCCTTGTCCCTCTCTCCAGGTCTCTCGTCCTCTCCAGGTCTCTGTTCCTCTCATGGTCCTTCGTCCCTCTCCCGGCCTCGTCCCTCTCCAGGTCCCTTGTCCCTCTCATGGTCCTTCGTCCCTCTCCAGGTCCCCTCGTCCCTCTCATGTCCTTCGTCCCTCACAGGTCCCTTGTCCCCTCTCAGGTCTCTCGTCCTCTCCCAAGGTCTCTGTTCCTCTCCTGGTCCTTCGTTCCTCTCCATGGTCCTTCGTCCCTCCAGGCCCTCGTCCCTCTCCCAGGTCCTCGTCCTCTCCAGGCCCCTCGTCCCTCCAGGTCTCGTCTCTCTGGTCCTTCGTCCCTCTCCAGGCCCTCGTCCCCTCAGGTCCTGTCCCTCTCATGGTCCTTCGTCCTCTCCAGGCCCCTCGTCCTCTCCAGGTCCCTTGTCCCTCTCATGGTCCTTCGTCCCTCTCCAGGTCCCTCGTCCTCTCATGGTCCTTCGTCTCTCACCAGGTCCTCGTCCTCTCCAGGTCCTCGTCCCTCTCCAGGTCCCTCGTCGCTCTCATGGTCTCGTCCCTCTCCGGTCCTCGTCCCTCACCAGGTCCCTCGTCCTCTCCAGGTCCCTCGTCCCTCTCATGGTCCTTCGTCCCTCTCCATGGTCCTTCGTCCTCTCCAGGCCCTCGTCCTCTCCAGGTCCTCGTCCCTCTCCATGGTCCTTCGTCCCTCTCCAGGCCCCTCGTCCCTCTCCCAGGTCCTTGTCCCTCCATGGTCCTTCGTCCTCTCCAGGTCCCTCGTTCCTCTATGGTCTTCGTCCTCACCAGGTCCTTGTCCCTCTCCAGGTCTCTCGTCCCTCTCCAGGTCTCTATTCCTCTCACGGTCCTTCGTCCCTCTCATGGTCCTTCGTCCTCTCCAGGCCCCTCGTCCCTCTCCAGGTCCCTTGTCCCTCTCATGGTCCTTCGTCCCTCTCCAGGTCCCTCGTCCCTCTCATGGTCCTTCGTCCCTCTCCAGGCCCCTCGTCCCTCTCCAGGTCCTTGTCCCTCTCATGGTCCTTCGTCCCTCCAGGTCCCTCGTCCTCTCCAGGTCCTCGTCGCTCTCATGGTCCTTCGTCCCTCTCAGGTCCCTCGTCCCTCACAGGTCCCTCGTCCTCTCCATGTCCCTCGTCCCTCTCCAGGTCTCTCGTCCCTCTCATGGTCCTTCGTCCTCTCCCAGGTCCCTCGTCCTCACCAGGTCCCTCGTCCTCTCCAGGTCCCTCGTCCCTCTCAGGTCCCTCGTCCCTCTCCAGTCCCTCGTCCCTCACCAGGTCCCTTGTCCCTCTCCAGGTCCTCGTCCCTCTCTCCAGGTCCCTCGTCCCTCACCAGGTCCTTGTCCTCTCCAGGTCCCTCGTCCTCTCCAGGTCTCTCGTCCCTCACCAGGTCCTTGTCCTCTCCAGGTCCTCGTCCTCACCAGGTCCCTTGTCCCTCTCCAGGTCCCTCGTCCCTCTCCAGGTCCCTCGTCCTCTCCAGGTCCTCGTCCCTCTCCAGGTCTCGTCCCCTCTCCATGTCCCTCGTCCCTCTCCAGGTCTCTCGTCCCTCTCCATGTCCCTCGTCCCTCTCAGGTCTCTCGTCCCTCATGGTCTCTCTCTTCCCCTCTCCAGGTCTCTCGTCCCTCTCCATGTCGTCCCCTCTCCGGTCTCGTCCCTCTCCATGTCCCTCGTCCTCACAGGGTCCCTTGTCCCTCTCCAGGTCCCTCGTCCCTCTCAGGTCCTCGTCCCTCTCCAGGTCCTCGTCCCCTCCCAGGTCTCTCGTCCCTCTCCATGTCCCTCGTCCCTCTCCAGAGTCTCTCGTCCCCTCTCATGTCCCTCGTCCTCTCCAGGTCTCTCGTCCCCTCCCCGGGTCTCTCTTCCCTCTCCAGGTCCCTCGTCCCCTCTCCAGGTCTCTCGTCCCCTCTCCGGGTCTCTCGTCCCTCTCCAGGTCTCTCGTCCTCCAGGTCCTTCGTCCTCTCCGGTCCTTCGTCCCTCTCCAGGTCCCTCGTCCCTCTCGGTCCCTCGTCCCCTCACCAGGTCCCTCGTCCTCTCATGGTCCTTCGTCCCCTCTCCAGGTCCTCGTCCCTCTCCAGATTACTCGTCCCTCTCCAGGTCTCTCGTCCCTCGCCGGGTCTCTCGTCCCTCACCAGGTCCCTCGTCGCTCTCATGGTCCTTCGTCCCTCTCCAGGTCTCGTCCCTCTCAGGTCCCTCGTCCCTCTCCAGTCTCTCGTCCCTCACCAGGTCCCTCATCCCTCTCATGGTCCCTCGTCCCTCTCCCATGTCCTCGTCCCTCTCCAGGTCTCTCGTCCCCTCGCCAGGTCTCTTCCCTCTCCAGGTCCTCGTCCTCTCCAGGTCTCTCGTCCCTCCCAGGTCTCTCGTCACTCACCAGGTCCCTCGTCCCTCACAGGTCCCTCGTCCCTCACCAGTTCCTCGTCCCCTCTCTAGGTCCTCGTCCCTCTCCAGGTCTCTCGTCCCTCTCCAGGTTTTCGTCCCTCTCAGGTCTCTCGTCCCTCTCCAGGTCTCTCGTCCCTCTCCAGGTCTCTCGTCCCTCTCCTGTCCCTCGTTCCTCCAGGTCCCTCGTCCCTCTCCCAGGTCCCTCGTCCCTCTCCAGGTCTCGTCCTCTCCAGGTCTCTCGTCCCTCTCCAGGTCCCTCGTCCCTCTCAGGTCCCTCGTCCCTCTCAGGTCTCTCGTCCCCTCCATATCTCTCACCCTCTCCAGGTCCCTCGTCCTCTCCAGGTCTCTCGTCCCTCTCCAGGTCTCGTCCCTCTCCAGGTCCTCGTCCCTCTCCAGGTCCTCGTCCTCTCCAGGTCCCTCGTCCCTCTCCAGGTCCTCGTCCCTCACCAGGTCTCGTCCCCTCGGCTCTCGTCCCTCTCCAGGTCTCTCGTCCCTCTCCAGGTCTCTCTCGTCCTCTCCAGGTCTCTCGTCCCTCTCCAGGTCCTCGTTCTCTCCAGGTCCTCTCGTCCTCTCCAGGTCCCTCGTCCCTCTCCAGGTCCCCTCGTCCCTCTCCAGGTCTCTCGTCCCCCTCCATATCTCTCTCCCTCTCCAGGTCCCTCGTCCTCTCCAGGTCTCTCGTCGCTCTCCAGGTCCCTCATCCCTTTCCAGGCCTCTCGTCCCCCCTCATATCTCTCTCCCTCTCCAGTACCAGCCCTCTCCACGTCTCTCATCCTCTCCAGTCTCTCATCCCTCCCACCCTCGTCCCTCCCAGTCTCTCATCCCCCCCCATCCATATCTCCCGTCCCCTCTCAGCAATACGTAACTTCT